AGGGTTTGTGGGGTATGTAGGGTTTATAGGGTGTATAGGGCTTTGGATTTATAGGGCCTGGGGTTTCTAGGGCTTAAGGTGTATAGGGCTTGGGGTTTATAGGGCTTAGGGCTTTTAGGGCTTAGGGTTCATTTCTTCCCTGATCAAGCATCGCGTTCATTCATGGACATCGCATATTCAGGCTGCGGTGTGTCTGGGAAAATCACAGGCTCTCGTTTAGCCGTGAGGTGTTGACATGGTCCAAGCACCCGACTGGCATGGCTGAGCATCCGGAGGCTTGACGGAGACGGTGTCCACACCAGCAGTCTGTCGACAGCCACAGTATCGACGGACGGTTTATTTGCTGTTGCGTTCGAAGTGTCACCCACTCGGTTTCCGACTGCACTTGTTGCAGGATCAGAAGGCTCACCGCCTCCAATTCAGAAACTTGAACCTATCAACCGATTGCAGTTGCCTTGCTTGTACGACCCCGGGCAGTCTACATCGACCGGGCGGGGTCAATACAAGGCTGCAATATTCGTGCTAAAACCACGTTGACGTGCCAGACACGCAGTGGGGCAGGATGTTGCGAACCTTCGTCGTGTTATTGACCGCCGTGGATAGTACCTTCCGGACCGCCATGGATAGTACCTTCTGGCACTGGGCGGTGTGTGGCAACATGTAGAAGCCAGTCAATGGCCACCATGACAAGAGTTGGGCGAACGCGCCGCGTTTCTGTTGGGAGGCATGTGCGGTTGGGCTAGCTGCGGCTGCTGCGCTCGCTCATGAAGGAGACGAGCTTGAGTTTGGGTGTACTACAGTACGACGATTGAAATACACCCTGCTTTGCAGATCGTGCTCCAACCTAGCAGCCCTGAGGGCTCAGATAGCCGGCTCCTGCTTGCGAAACAGAGATCCGATACACCCAAGGACCTATTAAAGTCCTGTATAGTTTTTGCATGCGTTGCTGAAAGGGCCCGTAGGGTGTAGGAGTGTAGGGTTTAGAGTGTAGGGCTTGGGGGCTCAGGGTTTCGTTTTCAGGGATGAATACGTATGGTACATGTCTCCCGCAGCTTTGAAAATCAGGCTGGGCGCGTGCATCCTTGCAGTTGCCAGTTTCATTTTCTATCGGGATCAGGATTGTGCTAAGCCCTTCATTTGCTCGGGGGTCGCCACATATTTCGTGAGCCGTAATTGTAAAGTCCTTAAACCCTACACCCAACCTTAAACCCTTCCCTTGAAGTGACCAAGTATTGTAGCTGCATGAACAACGTTTCTTTGCCCCCCAAATTCAAAACCGCATTCCAATTATTAGTCTCCTAAATGGCCTAAATGACTCATGACTTTAAGACCGCCACAACACTCACTTACAAAAACACTATCAACCATCCCAAGCCTCAGCGATTGCTATTACTGAGTGTCGCTCTGTAGATAGTCCCTATGCAAGCCCTTAACCTCCTTCCCCTAGAACTTGAATAAGCCCGACCCTTACGTATAGTCTCCACTGCAATTATATGTTAAGGATTTTTAAAGGTATCCCCCAAAAGGAACTACAAACAATGGAGACTATAGGTTTGTCTCAAAAACAGCAAAGTCCAAACCCAAAGCCAAGCCTTGCAAACCAAATCCTAGGGTTTAGGGTTTAGGGGAAAGGGTTATATCCGAAAAAATCCTGAACCCTTCATAGACTATAAACCTCACCCAGTGACACGGAGACCATCTTACATGACATACCCTATAATTCCCACGAATCCGAAACCCCAAACCCCACATATAATTCCTAAGCCCTGCATCCTGCACCCATTTTTAAAAACGTCAAAGTTACGTTTAATGGAACCTTCAAAGGTACCTAGGTACCTCAAACCGATGCGGAATTCCCCCATGGCTCCTTGAAATATCCGGAACTTTTACAAGAACCCTTATAGGAAGCGTTGTACGTTCCTCGAAAGGGAACCTTTGGAACCCGACTCGGAAGGCATCTCTGTCCTTCGATGTAATCGCATACAGCGCAGTCATCTCAGCCGGCTCGCATCTCGCTTGTGATCCTTTTGGTTCTAGGGTTCGGGTCATGTAGGGTCTAGAATTTCTGGTTGAGGGTTTTAAGGTTTAGGGTTAGTGTTTTTGCCTAGGGTTGCATCATAAACTTCACATAGAGCGAAACCTCTGGAACACAGCGAAGCAAGAAAGGAAAGGCGATCGCTGGGAGCTCGTGCTGCGCTTGCTGGGAGGAATGCTGTGGGCTGGTGTGATGCCGACACGAGGCAGCACAAGTGTTTGCCGGTGTTTGTTTGTTTTCGGGCTTTCGGTCTTCCATGTGGGATGTCGGCATTTGGGCCGGGTGTGGGATCATGTTTAGTTTTTTTCCCAACCTTAATCCTTTCAGGGATGGTTGGGGGTTTACACGGACGTTGGCTTTCAACATTACATACCGTCTTGACAGGGCTTGACGCCGGCAAGTTTTCTCGGGTTTGTGCTGTAGGCTGTGCCGTACCTAAACCCTGGAATGTATTTACCTTGTTTCATGATCAAGACTCAAGACCCCATATACGAGGAGTAAGGGCATGAACACGAGCCGGCTTTGAGAGGCCGTTGTAGGGCTAGCTTGTTTTTTGTGTATGACTTCGGGCAATCCCCAACTTCAGAACTATAATCCAACACCTACGCAAGTCCTAAATTGCAACTCCGCCTTCAACCGCCGGGCCAAGGAACGAATTCACTGTGAATGCGGCGGTCAGCAGCTGTGCCAAAGGCGCCACATCTGAGGGGCGCGGAGGATGTAGAATCAACTAAACTGGAAATCCTTTGTTCAGGTTTGATGTTATCTTGGGGATATCAAGCCTAGTATAAAGCCTAGGATAAACTCGAGACAGGATTGTTTAGAGGAGCCTTATAGCGAAGACGCAGGCCGCTGGCAGCGGGCTTTAGCGCTGCCCAAGTGGCTGCCGGAGCTTCCAGTAGCTAGGTTGCTCAGTGGCTAAGGTTTAGGGCTGAGGGCTTCAGGGTTTAGGGTTTGGGGGTCGTTCAGTAGTTCAGGGTTGTTCAGCAGTTTTGGTTTCAGGGCTTTAGAGTTTAGGGCTTAGGGGTTGTTCAGTACTGTAAGGTTGTACATGCCCGGTAATAAAGTTTCGT